AGATGGTTTATTCATCTTATTATTTTCATGTTATTATTTTCATCTTATTATTGGCAAGATTAGTCTGTTTTATACAAAATACTTAATAAGAAGAAACTTTAAAATATGTATTTATATGAGTCTCCAGAAGAGGCTTCACAATATGTGTTTAAACCAATTGCTAATTACATATTTATCCAAGAAACTAGTATGACTTTTCCATTTTGAATAATAATAAACATCTTGGAAATTTTCTTAATTACATAGTTACCAGAGAAGTCACAAGTAAAAAATATATTGGTTTTTGGGGAAAAAAAACAAAACAGAAAAACAATGAGTTATCAATGTTTTGTATTTAAAGAGGTCAATGTAATTCATATTCACAAAATTTGATCTTTCTTTAAAGGTTTTCAAATCATGAATAGAAAAAATATATATTCTTTTATTGAATTATGAACATAAGTAATGCCTAATGTATGTGTGTGTGTGTGTGTGTGTGTGTGTGTGTGTGTGTGTACTACAGTGTTTAGTTTGTGAAACTTTCCAAACATACAGAAAACAATAGCATCATGACCATTCATATAGGCACCACTTAGATTCATCAAATGTTGACAATGCCATACTTAATCTGTCATTACACACATTTCTTACAAAAAACGTCTGCCTTTGCTGAGGATTCATTTTCCACCCATGTTGCAAAAACTTCCTCCCCAGTCCTCCATTCTCTCTTTTCCCCATTATTTCTCTGGTTTGGAAGCTCTGCAATCCCTGATTGCCACCACAGATTTTTAGGGTTTAGGATCCTCCTAGTCAGAGCCATTCTGAGAATTCTAATTGTTTTAGTGAGGTTGGTGCAAGAGCGGGGGAGGAGGAAAAGAGAAATCAAATGGAAAGTAATGTTATAAGGAAGTTTTAGCTCCTAAGATCTGGGGTGCAACAAAAACAGAATGAACTATTCCCTAGAAGCAACATTCTAAATGATTGCACAAGGTTCAAGTGTGCTTTTGTGGTTTGTACATGGTTTCCTTATGAAAATATGTTGAGATCTGAGCAACCAGTTTACAACTGGATTTTGAGTTTGCTTACGGTCATGGATGGCCAGTATTATCATTATTTAGATTGTTACAAAAATTAACTGCTTTCTCTATTACATTTTTCTTTGAAGGCAAACTTTTAAACAAAAATTACCATTAAAGGTTCATAACACTTTCACTTTCTACATTATATAACTATTTCAATCTAATTTTTTCATTTCTATCTTTATTCCTATAACCTTCTTCATACACCCTTATTATATACATTACTAAGCGGCTATGGAATTGGAAAATCCATATCTAAATACTTTTAGGATTTAACCCAGAACACATTTGTTTTTATGATAATTCGATCAAAAGACAGATAAAAGGAAACACATTTCCTTTTAGTTCTCTTGACTTTTGCTTTTATTCTTATAACTCTTTCTCATTTTAGGATGCTTATTTATAATACTAAAAATGTTGCCTTTATATAAAAGTAATCCGAGGTCTCCACTCATGGATTTTATAGTTTAGGAATTGATTAACATGAGATATATTACTCCTAAAGCATAACCTAAATACAAAAATAATTTAAAAAAACCGAAAGCACAGATGAGTGGAGTCAAGAATTTTTGTAGTGCACTTTCAGGTGTATCTGTTAATGAAAAACAATGAATACATGAATGAATAATTAAACTAAAGCTATGTCTAAAGGAATAGTGAAATGGCTAGAAGCTGGGTCTTTTCCATCAACTGGAACTTCTTAATGACATGTTCTCCTGGGTATAAAAGAATCAAGAGTATCTCTTGGCTCCCTTCTACTATTTTCTGGTGTGCTGCTCCAAAGAATGCCCTGGCTGCCATTTTCACCTGGGTAGTCGCCAGGGGAAAGACCAGCTGCTCATATTTGCAGCTATGGCTCCCTTATCCGATCTTGGCTCCTTTCCCCTATCTTCTCTACACTCAGGGAGAGGATGTCAAGTATATACGTCCTGCTCCCGTCTTCCATCAGACACCACCCTTGGCTCATACCCTATTTTGATGCCATCTGCTTGGGGACAAAGAGGATAATAATAAGAGCTTTTACTTATTGAGTGCCTGCTGTGAGCTAAGTATTTACATATCTAATTTCAAATTCTCACATGATCCTGCAAGGACAGTATTAAACCCATTTTTATAGATCTAGAAAATGAAGTTCAGAAAAGTTATGAAACCCCTCCAAGGTTATCTGGTAGGCTCAT